GTCGAGGAACCCAAGGTGACCGAGGTGGTCGTCGAGGAAACCAAGGAGACCGAGGAAGTCGTCAAGGAACCCAAGGAGACCGAGGTGGTCGTCGTGGAACCCAAGGAGACCGAGAAGGTGACCAAGGTGGTCGTCGAGGAAACCAAGGAGTCCGAGAAGGTGACCAAGGTGGTCGTCGAAGAAGGAGACCGAGACCCAAGGAGACCCAAGGAGACCGAGGTGGTCGTCGAGGAACCCAAGGAGACCGAGGTGGTCGTCGAGGAAACCAAGGAGACCGAGAAGGTGACCAAGGTGGTCGTCGAAGAAGCCAAGGAGACCGAGGAAGTCGTCGAGGAACCCAAGGAGACCGAGGAAGTCGTCGAGGAACCCAAGGAGACCGAGAAGGTGACCAAGGTAGTCGTCGAGGAACCCAAGGAGACCGAGAAGGTGACCAAGGTAGTCGTCAAGGAACCCAAGGAGACCGAGAAGGTGACCAAGGTAGTCGTCGAGGAACCCAAGGAGACCGAGAAGGAGACCGAGGTGGTCGTCAAGGAACCCAAGGAGACCGAGGTGGTCGTCGAGGAACCCAAGGTGACCAAGGTAGTCGTCGAGGAAACCAAGGAGTCCGAGAAGGAGACCGAGGTGGTCGTCAAGGAACCCAAGGAGACCGAGGTGGTCGTCGAGGAACCCAAGGTGACCAAGGTAGTCGTCGAGGAAACCAAGGAGTCCGAGAAGGAGACCGAGGTGGTCGTCAAGGAACCCAAGGAGACCGAGGAAGTCGTCGAGGAACCCAAGGAGACCGAGGTGGTCGTCGAGGAAACCAAGGAGACCGAGAAGGTGACCAAGGTGGTCGTCGAAGAAGCCAAGGAGACCGAGGAAGTCGTCGAGGAACCCAAGGTGAGCGAGGTGGTCGTCGAGGAAACCAAGGAGACCGAGGAAGTCGTCAAGGAACCCAAGGAGACCGAGGTGGTCGTCGTGGAACCCAAGGAGACCGAGAAGGTGACCAAGGTGGTCGTCGAAGAAGCCAAGGAGACCGAGGAAGTCGTCGAGGAACCCAAGGAGTCCGAGAAGGAGACCGAGGTGGTCGTCAAGGAACCCAAGGAGACCGAGAAGGTGACCGAGGTGGTCGTCGAGGAAACCAAGGAGACCGAGGAAGTCGTCGAGGAACCCAAGGAGACCGAGGAAGTCGTCGAGGAACCCAAGGAGACCGAGGTGGTCGTCGAGGAACCCAAGGAGACCAAGAAAGTGACCGAGGTGGTCGTCGAGGAAACCAAGGAGACCGAGGTGGTCGTCGAGGAACCCAAGGAGACCGAGGTGGTCGTCGTGGAACCCAAGGAGACCGAGAAGGTGACCAAGGTGGTCGTCGAAGAAGCCAAGGAGACCGAGGAAGTCGTCGAGGAACCCAAGGTGACCGAGGTGGTCGTCGAGGAAACCAAGGAGACCGAGGAAGTCGTCAAGGAACTCAAGGAGACCGAGGAAGTCGTCGAGGAACCCAAGGAGACCGAGGTGGTCGTCGAGGAACCCAAGGAGACCGAGAAAGTGACCGAGGTGGTCGTCGAGGAACCCAAGGAGACCGAGGTGGTCGTCAAGGAACCCAAGGAGACCGAGGTGGTCGTCGAGGAAGCCAAGGAGACCGAGAAAGTGACCGAGGTGGTCGTCGAGGAACCCAAGGAGACCGAGGAAGTCGTTGAGGAAACCAAGGAGACCAAGGAAGTCGTCGAGGAACCCAAGGTGACCGATAAGGTGACCGAGGTGGTCGTCGAGGAAACCAAGGAGACCGAGGAAGTCGTCGAGGAACCCAAGGTGACCGAGGTGGTCGTCGAGGAAACCAAGGAGACCGAGGTGGTGGTCGAGGAAACCAAGGAGACCGAGGAAGTCGTCGAGGAACCCAAGGTGACCGAGGTGGTCGTCGAGGAAACCAAGGAGACCGAGGAAGTCGTCGAGGAACCCAAGGTGACCGAGGTGGTCGTCGAGGAAACCAAGGAGACCGAGGTGGTCGTCGAGGAAGCCAAGGAGACCAAGGTGGTCGTCGAGGAACCCAAGGAGACCGAGAAGGTGACCGAGGTGGTCGTCGAGGAAACCAAGGAGACCGAGGTGGTCGTCAAGGAACCCAAGGAGACCGAGGTGGTCGTCAAGGAACCCAAGGAGACCGAGGTGGTCGTCAAGGAACCCAAGGTGACCGAGGTGGTCGTCGAGGAAACCAAGGAGACCGAGGAAGTCGTCGAGGAACCCAAGGTGACCGAGGTGGTCGTCGAGGAAACCAAGGAGACCGAGGTGGTCGTCAAGGAACCCAAGGAGACCGAGGTGGTCGTCGAGGAAGCCAAGGAGACCGAGGAAGTCGTCGAGGAACCCAAGGAGACCAAGGTGGTCGTCGAGGAACCCAAGGAGACCAAGGTGGTCGTCGAGGAACCCAAGGAGACCGAGAAAGTGACCGAGGTGGTCGTCGAGGAACCCAAGGAGACCGAGGTGGTCGTCGAGGAAACCAAGGAGACCAAGGAAGTCGTCGAGGAACCCAAGGTGACCGAGAAGGTGACCGAGGTGGTCGTCGAGGAAACCAAGGAGACCGAGGAAGTCGTCGAGGAACCCAAGGTGACCGAGGTGGTCGTCGAGGAAACCAAGGAGACCAAGGAAGTCGTCGAAGAACCCAAGGTGACCGAGGTGGTCGTCGAGGAAACCAAGGAGACCGAGGTGGTCGTCAAGGAACCCAAGGAGACCGAGGTGGTCGTCGAGGAAGCCAAGGAGACCAAGGTGGTCGTCGAGGAACCCAAGGAGACCGATAAGGTGACCGAGGTGGTCGTCGAGGAAACCAAGGAGACCGAGGAAGTCGTCGAGGAACCCAAGGTGACCGAGGTGGTCGTCGAGGAACCCAAGGAGACCGAGGTGGTCGTCGAGGAAGCCAAGGAGACCGAGAAGGTGACCGAGGTGGTCGTCGAGGAACCCAAGGAGACCGAGGTGGTCGTCGAGGAAACCAAGGAGACCAAGGAAGTCGTCGAGGAACCCAAGGTGACCGAGGAAGTCGTCGAGGAACCCAAGGTGACCGAGGTGGTCGTCGAGGAACCCAAGGAGACCGAGAAGGTGACCGAGGTGGTCGTCGAGGAAACGAAAGAGATCGAGAAGGAGACCGAGGTGGTCGTCAAGGAACCCAAGGAGACCGAGGTGGTCGTCGAGGAATCCAAGGAGACCGATAAGGTGACCGAGGTGGTCGTCGAGGAAACCAAGGAGACCGAGGAAGTCGTCGAGGAACCCAAGGTGACCGAGGTGGTCGTCGAGGAAACCAAGGAGACCGAGGAAGTCGTCGAGGAACCCAAGGTGACCGAGGTGGTTGTCGAGGAAACCAAGGAGACCGATGAAATCGTCAAGGAACCCAAGGAGACCGAGGTGGTCGTCGTGGAGCCCAAGGAGACCGAGAAAGTGACCAAGGTGGTCGTCGAGGAAACCAAAGAGACCGAGGTGGTCGTCGAGGAACCCAAGGAGACCGAGAAGGTGACCGAGGTGGTCGTCGAGGAAACCAAGGAAACCGAGGAAGTCGTCGAGGAACCCAAGGAGACCGATGAAGTCGTCAAGGAACCCAAGGAGACCGAGGTGGTCGTCGAGGAACCCAAGGAGACCAAGAAGGAGACCGAGGTGGTCGTCGAGGAACCCAAGGAGACCAAGAAGGAGACCGAGGTGGCTGTCAACCTCTTGAACCAGATCTCCCAAGGTAATGAACTCTCAAAGGAATCGAGGAACCGCCTTCAGCAGCTTCTGAAGAAACTAGGCAGACGATAGTGATTTAGGTAGCTGCTTCAGTGATTGAGGCAGCAGATTCACTCACTATTTAGTATGATACAGCCCAGTTCTTGCTGGCCTGAAAATATAAGAATAGAATTATGATTTTTTTGTACATAATAAAATTAGGAAGCTGCTGGTTCCGCAAGCCAGCACAACTCGGTGACAGTCCCAAGTCTGGATAAGGAGAAGGCTTTACGTCAGGAAGGGCATCCGGTCATAAAACACTGCGCCAACCTAATCATGATGCGAACACAGAGACGGATCCGCACCGGCAACCCCACACAGGGAACAAGCCAGTAGAAGAAGATATCATCATCATTGCTGAATTGCCGTGGTCCTCCAAGCATCTCTATTCTGTGAGAGTCTATAAATTTCAGCAAGGTGCGGAAGGTGCACCTCTGCCATTTCTTCAGTAGGACTGAGTACTTACCAGTCATTTCAGTTGAGAGAGAGAGAGAGAGAGAGAGAGAGAGAGAGAGAGAGAGAGAGAGAGAAGAGAGAGGAGAGAGAGGAGAGAGAGAGAGAGGAGAGGAGAGAGAAGGAGAGAGAGAGAGAGGGCGGGAGGGAGAGAGAGAAGAGAGAGAGAGAGAGAGAGAGAGAGAGAGAGAGAGAGAGAGAGAGAGAGAAGAGAGAGAGAGAGAGAGAGAGAGAGAGAGAGAGAGAGAGAGAGAGAGAGAGCTTACGAAGGTTTCGTGGATGCCTTTACTTATAATACTTTAATCATCTCTGTTATTTTCATTATAATCATTATCATCATTGATATTTTTTTAATTGTTTTCATTGTCTTCATTATTATTTTCGTTATCTCTGTTATTATCATTTGCATTATTTATTATTATCATTATTGGTATTATTACATTATTATTATAACTGCAATTATTATCATTATTATTATCATTGTTATTATATTATTATTATTATTATTATCATCATTATCATAGTTATTATTATTATTATGAACAGCCGGGTCACAATACATGTGATAATTATTTGAGAGATAAAAAAAAAATCTGACAAACCCAGAAGACATGGCATATTAATGTTTAAAGGCAATTTCTAGAAGCCTAATATATTTTTCAGTTTCTTTTCAGTGCATGTCCGGATGCTCTGTCACCAAGCAGTTCAAAGCTTTTTTTTTTTTTTTTTAAGTTATCTTTGCAACTTTAATCTATTATTTAGAAAAATAATGACAGGTTATGAATACTGTTCTGAGTAAGTACTGGAATCTAGAATGGTTCAAACAAAAAGCCTTCTGAACTACTACTTTATTAGCAGTGTACATACATAACAAATATCACAGAAGATGCATTCTACACCAACTGCACACAAACTATAAATATATTTCATAAAATAGTGTGTTTTGGCCTCTAACACTTATCTACACCGCTGCGGGAAAGATAGTATGTATGGAATTCAAGTTGGTGCTGGTTATTGCGTTAATATTGTCTACTACATTATGTTTGGCTTCTATCATTGGGTGCATTTATATTATGCTAAGAACTGACTGTTAAATATTATATTTAGAGTGCACTTACAAAGAACTGTGTAAGGATAAATAAGTATGCGATAATATTCCTTTCTTTCAATTAGAAACCTCTTCCTAAAATTTAAAAAGAACAAATACCTTGTTTCCATTTCAGTAAATAATATATACCTATAATAAATAATTACAATAATGCTTGAGTTCTGTTCACTATGCCACATTGAGATCAAATGATAAAGATATGCATTAAGAGTAAAATGCAATAAAAAGTATTAAATAATGTGTTAACCTTCTGGTGCCATAAGATTCAGTACAACCTCATTCATTCTGTAACTTCCTCTCAGTGCTGCTAATGACCACTAATGTGGCACAACCTCTTTCCATAAACAACCACATTTTATGTGATGTCAGATATATAAATATCTAGAAAAATATATAAATAATCATAAGACATTTCACATACAGATCTCTTGCAGACTAGCATCTTCATCAACTGGAACTCTGAGCTTCTTCGGAAATTTTTAAGGACATGCACTCTTTTAGAAAAGCTAAAACGTATTCTCCAACTTCATCTGGATTTGTCAGGTGTATGTGATGTTTCCCTTCAATCTCATAGTAAGAAAAATGCTTGCAGTCCTGGTTGAAGGCTGACCGCATAATGTCATACTTGTCCTTGGACTCATAATAGTGCCCATCTGTAGCCTATAAAAAAGTGGAAAAGTTTAATAAAATTGTCTCAAAGACTTAATATCTAACTACTTAGATCTAAACTACTTATGACAGCATTATTTATCTAAACTCTGAATATTTCAGTTATTTTTTCCAACTGACCTGAAGTACACAATCTATCTAAAAATGATTTGCAGCTAATATCAATAAGGTCTTTCATTATTTACCTTGAGGAAGAGTAGTGGACACTTGATAGAAGTGGCCATGTCCACCCAGACTTCAAAGGGAAGAAATCCGATGAAGAAAGCCTTAGCCCTTAGGTCCCTCCTCAGGATCAGCCCTTTCCCATCCTCGGCTTTCTTTGCCCCGCGTTTGAGCAGAATTTTAGCACCTTCCTCGTTGAGTGACTTGCTGCCATCGATGGTCTTCTGCAGGAGCTCTTCCTCCTGATAGACCAGCGCCGGCTGCTTAGACTTCGTTTCATTATCAAAGTACGACAAGTAGTATTTCTTCAGTTCTGAAGCATACTTTTCTGGCTTGAGTGACCAGGTCTTAATAATGTCGATTGAGATAAAGGCCTCTATGTCCTCGGGGAAAATGGAAGTGTAGAGGATGCCTACCACTGCCCCCATGCTGTGCCCTAGGTAAATAAAGCGCTTCCAACCAAGGACTGTCACAGCTTTCTTTATGGCCCCTGCATAGCCCCTTGGGTCATAAATGAAGCCAGGAGGGAAGTGGTCAGAGAGACCATGCCCAGGGAGATCCAG